CCGCCCTCTATATAGCGCACCCGCGGGGCGCGCGCCAGGCCGCCAGCCGCGCACAAGCCCGGGAAGCGCTCCACGCCTGCCGCTCGGCCCCCACGGCCACCATGAAGAAGGAGGTGTGCTCTGTGGCCTTCGTCAAGGCTGTGTTCACTGAGTTCCTGGCCACCCTCATCTTCGTCTTCTTCGGCCTCGGCTCGGCCCTTCCGTGGCCGTCAGCGCTGCCCAGCACCCTCCAGATCTCGCTGGCCTTTGGCCTAGCCATAGGCACCCTGGCCCAGGCCCTGGGGCCCGTGAGCGGCGGCCACATCAACCCGGCCATCACACTGGCCCTCTTGGTGGGCAACCAGATCTCCCTGCTCAGGGCTGTCTTCTACGTGGTGGCCCAGCTGGTGGGCGCCATTGCTGGGGCTGGCATACTCTATGGGCTGGCACCAGTCCGTGCCCGGGGCTCTCTGTCCATCAATTCGGTGAGTGCCCACGGGGCTGGGGGTGGGGCAGGGGCCCTGGGGTGGCCTCCGGACCAGGCCCCTATACCCCATCTCAAGAATGGACGCCACTGAGTGGGCCGGTGCACACTCTTGAAGGGAAGGTGGCCTCCCAAGGCCAGGAAGGTGAATGCCCAGGCTGGTGTGTGTCCCTGCCCAGCCTCCCTGGTTCACACCCACCTCCTCTGCCTGCTCCCCTCCTGCTGCCCCTTCCTAGCCTGTATCGTGGTGCCTACTGCGCCTCCTTTCTTGCTGAAACTTCTGCCTTTTCTCCTGTCTCTCCCCTGAGTTCTGCCTTCCTCTTGTGCCCCTCACAGCTCCCCTCTGTTCCTCAGTTGAGTGGTTTCATGGAACCATCAGAGAGATGGGCTGCAGTCTTGGCTTCTGCTGACCCTGGCCCCTCTGGGTCTCATTTTCCTCGGCCATTACATGGGGATGGCCATCACAACAGATGTCACGGGATCCCATTTAGAGACCGTTCGTGTGAATTCCTAATTCTGTTCCAATTCGAGGATCTCTGTTGAATATTGGTTCCTGTTCCTGGCCCCCTGATGCCTCCCCCTCCCGAAGCCCCAGAAGCCCCAGACTCAGCCCTCATGTCCCATGCAAACTGGGTTCATTAATCAAACATAGAGGAGGATTTTCTCGGCCATTGTCAAGCCATGAGTCAGCGGCACTGGAGAGACGGGTTTGAGGTTGGCTCTGGCAGTGGATCAGGCACCGGCGGAAGATGGGCTGGGGGTGCAGTAGACAAACTGGGCAGCTGCCCACAGAAGGGAGTGTAAATGCCAGTTTGTGGGGGTTGGAGACTGGGCAGAATCCTTGACAGGACTGTGTCCAGGAAAAGCTCCCCTCATTCCACTCTTGGGCCACAGGCCTGCACTCCAAGCTTTGCACACTGTGATATATGTAGTCTCTCTAGCACATGACCTCCCTGACTTGGCGTGCACTGGGTTGTAGGTGTCCTTGGAGGCCCTAAACCCATCTCTCCAAGCCCCAGGCCATAGAGGCAGAAGAAGGCGGGTCCTAACTCACATTTCCTTGCAGCTCAACAACAAGACAACACCTGGCCAGGCCGTGGTGGTGGAGATGATTCTGACCTTCCAGCTGGCTCTCTGCATCTTCTCCTCTACCGACTCCCGCCGCACCAGCCCTGTGGGCTCCCCAGCCCTGTCCATTGGCCTGTCTGTCACCTTGGGCCACCTTTTGGGGGTGAGAAGAACTGCCACCTGGCTGGGATTGTGGGGAGCCCCTTAGGGCAAATAATGAGCCTGAGAGCAGTACTACCCCAGACCAATGAGCCCTGCAGTTTGGGCCTGGAGTGGGGTTGCTGTACTCTGTCCCAGACTTGAGGCCCCCAAACCTTCTCTAGCCTGAGGGAAGATAGGAATAAGTGGGAGTTGGGGTGGGGGCAGGAAACTAAGCCCAAGTTCAGAACAGAGAAGAGAGGAGCAGTGTGTAGGAACCTGTGGAGGGAGAGGTCACCAGCCTAGGAACTGGAGACCTTGAGTTGGAGATCTGGCTGAGCCCTGGACTGCTGGGTGACCCTGAAAGAGCTGGGGGACCTGTGGGAATAGACATGCAGTTTGCCCTCCTCACCACCTCCCTCTCTGTCTAGATCTATTTCACCGGCTGTTCCATGAACCCAGCCCGCTCTTTCGGCCCCGCAGTGGTCATGAAGCAGTTCAACCCTGCACACTGGGTGAGTCTGGGCATCTCCTTGGGTCTCTGGCAGTAAGGGCCTGGACACCCAGCTGTGGCTATCTGGACTTTCTGGGTGCTGTGGACCCAGAACTTGGGGGTGGGCCTGGGGAGTAGTGGTTGGGGAGAGAAGGGATAGGGGAACAGGATGCAGCCAGAACACCAGCAGAAGTAGATTTATATGGACACGGAGACCCTGGGTGGGGTGGCAGTGGGGACTATGTGTGTCTGTCCCTCTGGGTAAGGGAGGGGATCTCTACCTCTAGGTTGATCTCTGAGGATTTTGTCTGTCCCTCTGGGAGTTTGTGTGTCTGTCCTATCTGATGTTTTATTTACCTGTCTCTGTTGAGGGGTTGGGATAGTCTTCCTGTGGGTCTGTCCCTCTGGACAATCTGAAACCTCCTTTGAGAGCTCATGGTCTCCCTCCAGAGTCTGTCTCTATCCCCATGCGAAAGGGAGAAGAGTTCTGTTCATCTCTCTGAGGATCCATATGTCTGTTACCTCTGAAGGTTCATTTTTCTTCCTTTTTTTTCTTTTTTAAAAAATATATCTTTATTGATTTCAGAGAGAGGAAGGGAGAGGGAGAGAGAGAGATAGAAACATCAATGATGAGAGAGTCATTGATCGGCTGCCTCCTGCACGCCCCCAACTGGGGATCGAGCCCGCAACCCGGGCATGTGCCCTGACCAGGAATCGAACCCCGATCACCTGGATCCTAGGTNCTCCAGAGTCTGTCTCTATCCCCATGCGAAAGGGAGAAGAGTTCTGTTCATCTCTCTGAGGATCCATATGTCTGTTACCTCTGAAGGTTCATTTTTCTTCCTTTTTTTTCTTTTTTAAAAAATATATCTTTATTGATTTCAGAGAGAGGAAGGGAGAGGGAGAGAGAGAGATAGAAACATCAATGATGAGAGAGTCATTGATCGGCTGCCTCCTGCACGCCCCCAACTGGGGATCGAGCCCGCAACCCGGGCATGTGCCCTGACCAGGAATCGAACCCCGATCGCCTGGATCCTAGGTTGACGCTCAACCACTGAGCCACACCTGGCTGGGCGGGTTCATTTTTCTTTAGGGTGGGATTCGAGGGGGCCTGGCCTCTGGGGATCTGGTCTATCTCCTTTAAGGATGTGGGTGTCTGTGGTCCATGTCTGTATCATTGGGGAGAGGGGTGTCGGTACATCTGTCCCTGAGGTGGGAGGAGGTCTTTCCTTCTGGGGGTCTGGAAGTATGTCTGTCCATCTTCCCTGAGGGTCCATGAGTCTGTTTGCTGGAGGAGAGGGGAGTTGTTGGTCTCTGAGGCCTAGGGCTCAGCCCCCTGACGCTGTCCTGTCTCCACCAGGTATTCTGGGTGGGGCCCATCGTGGGGGCTGCCCTGGCTGCCATCCTCTACTTCTACCTGCTCTTCCCCAACTCCCTGAGCCTGAGTGAGCGTGTGGCCGTCGTCAAGGGCACGTATGAGCCTGAGGAGGACTGGGAGGAGCAGCGGGAGGAAAGGAAGAAGACCATGGAGCTGACCGCTCACTGACCAGCGTCAGACAGAGGCCAGCCCCTCATCCTGAACTGCAGGGGGGGAAAACACACAAAAACAAACAAAAAAACATGACAGCAAAGCTTCCTTCCCCCACAGGCTGGGTCCTCTGGGCTTGGGGAGGAGGTACTGGCTTCCCAGGCTGCAGTTAGAAATGGGAGCAGGAACCCATGATGGAACTCTAGGGGTGGGGGCCCGGTGCTGGGGTCTGACAGGGAGGAGTGTCTCCCTGTGACAGGGCAGGCTGCTGTCATGAGGTCAGACCTCAGAGATTGTGAACAGAGCACCAAGCTCACAGGGTGCCCCAGGGGCAGGCCAAGAAGGGGTGGCCTGCATTCTTCATCCCCCACTCACCCCAGCCCCTCCTCAAGAGCCAGAGGGATCCCAGCCCCTAGGATGGCAGAGGCTGACTCTCCCCAGAGCTCCTTAGGAGGGAGACAGTCTGGTTCATTAAATACTGCCTTATTTATTTCTGCTTATAGATGCATGGGCTAGGGCTGCTGGTGTTTGGAGTGGGGGCTTCCCAATAAACCACTGACGTTCATGTTCAGCTTCATCTCTTCCCAGAAGCCTCTCCTTGGGACACTCTGGTTCATCACCTCTCTCCTCTTCATCACCCCACACCCTCCCCTAGGCCCCACAGTCCTCTGGGCAAAGACAAGAAAGATGAGGTCAGGGGAGGCCTAGAGTCAGATATAGGGGCGGAAGACCAAGAGAGGGGGATGGGGGGAGGGAGAGAGACCAAATATAGAAAGAGAGCTACAGGTCAGGAAGAGGCAGTGGGAGCAGAGAAGGAGGCATTCTCTTCACTCAGCCTCTCGCCTGCACATCCCTCCCACCTCAGGTATGTCAAGTCCCTGCCACTTGAGGAGAGTGTGCCGGGCAGGGTAGAGAAGAAGTGAACCAGCCTGCAGCCCCTTGAGATGCCAAGGGGGTGACCCACTGTGTCATCGGGGAGGAGGCACAGCCCTAGACTTCCCTCTTTACACTTCAGTGTTCCGAAAAAGAGCTATGTTGGAAGCCTGTGCTTAGAGACAGGAGCATGCCCCTGCTCTCACCACACACACACACACACACACACACACACACACACACACACTCACACTCACACAGAAGCTGCACCTGGCACAGCTCTTTTCTGGTCTCCTCTTCCCTGTCTCTTCAGGCCGGTGTCCGAGCAATCTTCCCCTCTGGGCCCGCAGCTCTGCCCTCGCTGACTCTTGTCTCCTTGCCACTGACACTCCTTAGGAAACTTCCTTAGCTCACCAAGCCTCCATCTATTAAGCTATAAAATGAGGATTAAAACTGCTTCCCTCACAGGTTGTTGTAGGGATCAGATGGGATCAGGGAGTGAGATTTCTAGGACTGCTGCTCTCCGTGGGGAAAGGATGGAATGCAGATGAGCAGTTCAGGATACAGCCCTGCATGGGGTCCACCTCTTTTTTTTAAAAAAAATATGTTTTTATTGATTTTAGAGAGGAAGGGAGAGGAAGAGAAACATGATTGGCTGCCTCCTGCACACCCCGTACTGGGTATGGAGCCCAAAACTTGGGCATTGGGGTGACACTCAACCACTGAGCCACACCGGCTGGGCTGGGGTCCAAGTCTTGATGCTCATCTTTGGGTAACATAAACTCTCTGACTTTTAATTGCCTCATCTGTAAAATGGGGTTACTTGTACTTATAGGTGGTTGTAGGATAAAACGAGACAATGGATGGAAATGAACCCTTGTACAAACAGGGCGGGGCACTTCAGGGCGAGTGCTCAGTGAACAAGTGTGAAGAGAAACCAGCATGTACGCATCTAGGACCCTGGCCACGACCTGGTTCTGGGCCTCTGCTCTCGTGAGAGTGTTTGAACCTGGGCTCCAGTTTTTCTCTTGCGTGGGAACCTTGCCCCACAGCCTTACAGTCTTCAGTTTTGCCTCAGAAGAGGAGGGATAAGAGATGGAGCAGAGAAGAGGTGGAAGAGTCTATACACCCTGCTGGCAAGGGTCAGTCCCAGGGGGTTGGGGTGAGGGTACCAGCTCCCCAGCCCGCCTCCACACTTCGGTCTAGTATCTGTGAGTGGGAGCTGCAACCGCCCTGCCCTGCCCTGCCCTGCCCTGCCCTGCCCGCCTCATCAGCATGCAGTTAACACAGAAAGGCAGTATGCGTGGGAGAACCTGTGGAAAGGAGCAGAGCCTCCC